ACCCTCTTCAACCCCCCCCCTACTCAAACTTGCACCAGCCCATCTTCTGCCAAGGGTTGCTTAAAACCCAAACCCGAACTTCCTCCCCCCCCTTATTTTTACATTTTCCCCTCCCCCTTTACTTGTTTTTCCCCACCTTCCTCTTTCCCATCTACCCTTACCCTAACAACCCCACAACAAATTAAACCCCTTTAAAACCGGCCCAAAGCAGATCAAAACGCACATGTGTGGTAGTGCAACAAAATGATCTACTTTTTTTTTTTTTTACATTTTTTCAAATATAACAAAAAAAAAGTAGATCAAAGTTTTTTTTTACACTTTTCAAATGTAAAAAAAAAAAAAAGATCTATTTTTTTTAAACATATTTTAAAATTTGAAAAAAACGTATATATACTTTTGGGAACCTTTTAGGGGTTTTAATGACCCGAAATAAAAATTCCCCCCTCTGAAAAAACGTTACATTCTAGCCTACCCATAAAACCTTTTATCCCCCATTTACATAATCAAACAAACTTTTTTTCATATTTTCTATATCATCCCTTGTATATTTATTTATCCCTTTTTTCTAAAAATGTTTTCCCTTAAATTACCAAACCTCTTTTTTAACACATAGCAAATTTAAAAGGGCTCCCCTTTTTCCCTTTTCCCCCTCCACCCCCAAATTTACCTACTACCCCCCCCAAACATTTTGCCCACTTTAACATTAAAATTTCCTAAAACCCCCCTTTAACTCCCAAAAGGTTTCAAACCCCCCACGCATTCACTAAACTTTTCCCCAAAATCTCTCTTTTCCTCCTCTTCCACTTCTGTTTTTCCCCCAAAAGATATAAAACTTACTGAAACCCCAAATTTTTCACACCCAACCTTTATTTTACCCACAAAACCCTTTTGAATTAATACATTTATAGTCCCCTTTTTTCCCTGCCAAAACTTACCCTTTCAACATTTTTTGCTACTCCTTTTTAGCTCAAATCTTTTTGGGAAACCCCTGCCCCAAACCCCCATTTTTTTCCTATCCCTAAAAACCTCTCCCGCCCCCCTTTAAATTTTTGGGTTTCACTTAAAGCCGGGACATGCGGCTTTTTCTCATTCTAACATCCAAAAATCACTCTTTTTTAATCACCCCGGGGGAGAACATCCACGCACTTTTCGGGACTTCCCACTTTGCCCAATTTTTTCTTCTTTTTTTTTTTTTTAAGTAATTATACAGGAAAAGGGGTTATTAGCCCATTGTTCCCAGCTTTTAGTTGATTTTTACAACACGCATGGCTTAGGGAAAAGATTCTTATTCCCCCTTCCCCCGGGGTATAATATTTTTGGGGGAAAAACGGCTGACTTGTTGAAAAATTTTAAAATTTTATATAAAATATAAATATTTAAAATTATATATTTTACAGTGGCCCCCTAAATAATCTTTCCCGGCCCCAAAAAGCTCCATTTCAAAAAAAAAAACTTTTTTTTCCGTCAAAATATTGGCTCGCCAAAGGGCCCAGAAACTCGCTAAAATCCTAAAGTCCTTCGTCCCGGACGCATACCACGCCTTCCCCCCGGGCCTTTTCCCCCTTTTCCCCTTTTCCCAGCCATTGGCCTTTTTTACCAGGGGAGTAAAACGGCCCCCTCACTTTGCTTCTACGAAATTTTTTCAATAAATATTCCTTTAAAATTTAGTGTTTGAAAGTGCTAAATAAGCTCCCCAAGGGGGGGGGTTTTTTCAAAAATAAAGTTTCTAGTGCCACCCCTTTTTTGAAAGAATGTGAGAAACACATAATTTATGAAAAAGTTTGAAAAAAAAAATACAAAGATGGGGGTGGTAAATGGGAAAGGGCAGTTGTGATAGTGGTTGATGAACATAAAAAAGGAGATCACTGCAGCGGGCCCCTTTTTGCCCTTGCTTGGCGGGTTTCCTTTAAAAAATTCATCCCACTAAAAACTTTTGCCCCCAAACCCAGCCCAAATTGCTCCCCCAAAAATAAGCTCTGATAACCTATCTACCATTTGGGACTTGCAAAAGCTTATTTCTTGCGAAAGGCATTAAGGACGGGGTTGGGGGAAAATTTTTTCGTTAGTGAGATAAATTTGGAAAGGCCCTGCCAAGGGGGGGCCAACGGGCCCCTGCGCAGTTTTCCCCTTTTTTATGTTATGTTAAACAACCACATCTCAACTGCTTCCACTCTACCCCCACCATCTGGTTTTGGCACTAGAAGCTTTCTTTGGGGGTATAAAGGTGGAAAAAAGGTAGTATTGATGGGGGGTTAGAGGGGTTCCTTCTTTAGAGATTTCAGCGATTCTCCCAAACTCCCCAATGTTGTTGGGGTTATAGGGGGCCTTACAAAAACCACCCCCCGATTTAGCTGTTTCTTCACCACCATTATGGACGGTTTTACACTCAGTGGCCCTTAAAACCCCAACAAAAACACAACACAAACACCCCCGGTGACATAAAAAAAGACTTTTTTTTATTCATCTAGAGTATTTTCCATTTTTCCTATGTTTTTTAATATTTTTTAAATTTATGTCATTTTTTATTTTGAATTGTGATAGATAAAAAGCCATAGATTTGGGTTTTTGTAAAATTCTCCAACAATAAATTTGGGCCACCCCCCTCCTTCACACAAAAATACCCAAATAAAAACTAACAAGGGAAAAACCACGCGGTAAACGGGCCCCAAAAAAAGGGCAGACCCTTTAATAAAAATGCCCTCCACCCGGGCCCCCAAAGAATTTTTTTTCCCGTACCCAATGAAAACAAATCAAACTAGCTCCCCCAACTCGTAAATTTGTCCAACCCTTTTCTTAAAGTTTCCCCAAAGGGTCCTGGGCCTGGGATCACCCTACTGGTAATGTGATTTTTTAAATAAAACTTAAGAAAGTAGGAACCCTGGAACAGGCCTATTTGGCC